TTCCTTTATTAGCCCCTCCCAATCCCGAGATACTATCTATCACGAACACTTAGCTTAACTAGACTTTCTTCGAAGATTACGGTCCAAAGCATCCATCCGAGAAGAATTATCTGAATCTACTACATCACTCAATGGAACAATGTGATCCCCTTCCTTCCTCGCGCCCACGGTGCCTCAATGAACAAATTCAATCTCGTGTTCTGGCATCTCGTTGCTCGGCTCACCGTCTCGTTGCTCGGCCTACCGTCTTTCTAGGTACGGGTCATCGAACTCGTAGATGCCTGATGTCGACGATCACGCCTAGAAACCTCGAAGATTGGAGACAGAATTTCTGTACTATATGTTGAATCACTCAACTTGAGGCTGCCATCAGGGATCCCGCGGAGTGACTCCATCTCGGTCATTCACATTCAAGCGCAAACGTGCATGATCTTGGCTGTCGCGAGTACGTCTTCCTCTTAGAGACGCGGCAAATGGGTTGTTACTAAGGATAGATACATCGGCCTTCTACCAGAGATCCAACTGCATGAGTAATGTAAAAGAAACCAGAGAATACTCACAGAACGGGTTGTCTATGTTCTCATCGAGGATGAAATATTTAGTCACGGGCCAACTCGCACCCGTGTCAAGGTTCGTCGAGGTTGTATTTGGAGAAGAGGTCTTGTATACAAACAAATCCGATAAGTTCAAATATCTAAAGTTTGGGTTGATCAGGCTGACCGAATTCAAACTACAGGAAATAGATCGCATACCATGCATCCAAACGCCCAAATGTTGACGTTCCCATTCCACGGGCCATTGAGAATGGTTTAGAGTGCAAGCGGAGATCTCGTCGGTTGTGAACATCTGCAAGTTGCGCTATTATGTGCCACATGTCAGTCCTGCTACATGCCCTGAAAAGTACATCGTTTTTCTCCCGAAAATCCGCAACGATGGAGTTGCGCATCATGGCCTCGAGCGAAGTTAGAGAGGGACTGAGAGACGACGGTCTGGACAACGACTCAGGATGGAGGATGGCGTCAAGCTTGGTCCCCTTCGGTGAAGACTGCAATATTTTATGTGAGTGAGTCCATATCAAACATGATGTTATCCTGCTTGATATCCGTATACATTATCTCAAGTGCGTGCGTATGCGCAAAGACGGTGCAAGATGTTTCTTTTCGAGTGACCGGAGAGATTTAACATCTCCACCCAAAACGTCTGTGACTCGGACAAAGCATAGATGGTACCCGTCTCGATCCTTTCCAGATTGTTCAAACAAGAGATGAAGATGAAGGCAATGACTCGACGTGAGGCTGGCCCATGGTAGAGACCAAAAGTTGGGCGTTTGAGAGCAGGTAGCTGCAACATTACGCCTCGTTCGGATAGACCAGTTGAATCTCCTTTCAAAGCTTTGATCACGACTACAACTGCTAGTCTCCACGCACATCTCGTCAAAAGACACCCAGATGGTGGATTTTATACCCCTCCGCTCAAGCTTGCGGTTGATTTTGAAGCCCTTCTCTGAATCTAAGGAACTGCCAGATTCGACACGAACTTGGAGATAGTCATGCCCTTGGTTACCACGACTCACGAGAACTCTTGATGGCTTCTCCACAAATTTCAGTTCACCTTCTACGCCTCTGCGTTAACATGAACGTGTTTGTGCCGAGAACGAGGTGCAGGCTAGTTGGGGGCCAGAAGACCCAATTTTCGGATGTGCTATTGTGAGATACCGCAGACTGAGGTAATGCTGATGCTTATATTTTAGAGAAATGAGATTGAAAGGCTCGAACCCGACGTTGTAAGCGGACACTGTAGTTTGTAGCATGATGGTTTTGTTGAAGATTGTTGTCAAGGAATCAAATGGGATTCACACCCTAGACAAACTCATATATAACGCGTCCTATATACAACACGATCACTGGGAGGAATATCGAGACTAGGTAAGATATGGTTGCCTACTATGACCTATAGAGAGCGGAACGCTCGTGACACCAGTTTCACAGGATGTGATTAATGATGTGCTTACGCCAGAAGTGCCAGGATATACGATCTATCTTCGTAAGTAACTAATACCATTGTGCCAAGCTGATATACAACTACTTGGTGACGGACGAGTTCTACTCTAGACATCAATGACCTCAAGCCTGTTAGACTCCCATGTAGGATACGAAGTAGAACCTGCCGCAACATGTGTCCAATTTGCATTGAGCAAATAAATTCTATCCTTGTCGAGCCATATGTCCAGTAACTCGCGAACACAGAACTTCCTTTTCGATACGACCTCGACGTAAGGCAAGGATGTTGTAATCGTCAAGTTCTCCTCTTTGACGGTGTCATCCATGACAGGACTCATTTCTATCGTAGATGACTCTTTCACCACGCGCCCAAGACCCTGTCTGTTTGTCCCAGCTATTGGGCTGAAGTCCATCAGACGTACTTCCGTACTCCCCAGGACGCGTGTCTGGCCCGCTGATTGCGAAAGCCTGCAAAACTCGATTTCCATTAACGTGGACTTTGCCTCGATATGGATACTGGAAAACACGAGTATTTGAAGGACCCCATTGTATCCATGGTATTGTCATTGTTTCTGCAACTTCGTCAAGGTCGAAGAAAATCCTCGTGGAGATGATGAAGACCAGAGAGGCAGTACCATAGGACGCAGCAAGGCATAGTAATTGATGCTTAGGGTCTGGGGTGTACCTCACCGTTTGAGGTTGGATTTGCATCTGCTCAATATCGTCCATGGGAAAGTGGCATTGTATGCACTGCAACGGGAGGGGCAATTTGAAACGTGCCATACGTCGTGACATCTTGAGATCTTCCATTAAAAAGACCTCCAGATCGTCAGCCACGATGAGCAACCTATCATTTCCGAGGAAACAAAAATCAATCTGGTTTTCAGATGGGCGGGGTGTTATCCTGCTGATGACGATCTGAATTCAAGATTAATCGTCAAGTCTTTGAACATTTCAGATCAAACCTCACCCTCCCTGGCGAGTCTTGCCAATCCCAAATCTGCAGATTCCACTCGTAATTCTTTCCATCATTGTTTGTAATAACCACGGAACGCAGCAAAGCGATATGTCTCCCACAGCACTTGAGCTTCGCACATGTTGTTTTAATGAGATCGGATTCAGATTCGGACATCTCCGCTAGAGTTAGTGTTCGTTCGGCAGCTTGAGGGTGAACACCATCACCATCTAGGGCTCTAAGGTCAATACAGACCACCTCATCTGATTCAAGAGGATTATCCTCGGAAGTAACACAATACGCGACGGCGATCAGGTTTTGTGCTAGGTCAATCAACACATCCAGGGTGACTGAGTCGGGCTCCGAACGCAATGTCTCTAGAGACCAGCAGCGCTCGATTATCCTTCGCGAGGGCTTTGGTAGTATTGGAATTATCGCAGCCAGGTCATCAGGTTCATCCCACGAGAAGAAATGCCCATGAGTCACGAGATGTTTATTAGCGTACGATGTTTCTTCTAAGGTGATTGTTTCGAAAGAGTACATGTCAGTCTTGAACCATGCGTGGGACCTGTCCTTCAAGGTCTTCAGACGGTTGCCAATAGGTGTGTAGTTGGTGTTGGGGACAGGAATTAACCGTTGGCCAATGAGTTCGATAGTGTACTGAAGCTCGGAGGAGGACATGTACGCCTGGCGAAGGGCCTTGCATACCTGCAAGAGTATTATCATCGAAATCCATCTAGAATGAGAATCACATCAACACAATTGTGACTCACAGATGTACAACGAAGAATATCTCGATAAGAAAGATACCTGAGAATGTAAAACATCAGTTCTTCAGCGAGAGATAAGAACCCTGTTTTGGGCTTCATTTCGTAGCCTACTCTTCCGACATGGCAAGGTGGACAACGAGACTCGAGCATTGGGTATGAGTGGGAAGTTATACACCAGATGTAAGGAAGATATTTAAGTGACTGACCACTGGAGCACGGCGGGAGCTTGCAAAAAAGGGTTACATAAATTGAGGTGAACCGAATGACTTGTTGCGTAGGGTATCATACATGGTAACTTACCCATATGGGACGGTAAAGGAGGTTCACCCTGTGGGAAGCAAACGTTTCGATCTGAAAAAGGCAACGGTTATTTTCTGTGACGGAACCTTTTTCGATCGACCTTCCCGATGACCGTGACGGAGACCGCTGAGCCTTCCGAGTCTGAGTCTGCAGAGACCTCACTCAATCGGATCAGCACAATTTCGCGCATTCTGAACGTCCGCATTGCAGCACTGCCCTCAAAATTAAATCGACTCGGAGGAACAACTGTCAAGTTTCTTCCTTAACAGTCTGACTACGAGAAACTATCACCACTCTAACTTTATGGTAGTGTGCCGGAAACTCGACATGATGCATATGCAATGCCTTTTGACTATCTGATTTGCGATGAAAGGTTTGGTGGGACGCAAGGTAATCGGGATTGGCGCGACCGAGCGCTGCTACAATTTTTTATGGCACTGGATCCGTAATCACTGAAAAATTCATCCGTTCAATCTCAAGCACAGGTGGTCCAAAATTTAGACTGGACACACCAGTTTCGGGAGGGAACCATTTCGTCCTCGGACTTTGACAGCAAACAATGACATTTCGTAAGTATGTTCACCCATTCCAATGGGTAAGGCCGCTAAATGTTGACAACGACTTAGAACTCGCCATATCCTCGTGTCCTCCCTCATGCACACAATGCATATGTTACGTACCATACTACCCGACACAGCATCAATACCTGCACACCCGCCTTCGTGTTGCCAACGAACGAGTTTCTCACTCTTCCACAATCCCCAGCAGGCGCACAACACCAGAACAACGATCCATCACTTCTTACGACCTCCCCCTGCCCCAGAAGGTCTATTAAGCCCTAGACTTTGATCATTGGCTAACGTTGTCGTACGTCTTCCATCAAAAATGACATCGTTCATATGGTAGCTAAGTACGCTTTCTAACCTAACTAGCACTTCCCCGGACAATTCTGGCATATTCTGCCACCATCGCACAATGAATCATGATCAATGTCAGTATCAGTATCTTCTATCTATTACTTCGATCGCTGACTTCATTCGCAGTGCGCCAATCACCTGAAGGCATGTGGGAGAGTCTGTCCCGCATCGCCGTTAAGAGTGCTGAGTATAACTCCCGCGAACGTCAGCCTCATCCAAAGTGTCTGGAAGGGACGCGGGTAAACCCTCTCGACTACATCTACAGATTGTTAGACGACCGAAAGAAGAGTCGTCTCATCTGGCTGCATGGCACAGCAGGCGTCGGAAAGTCTGCTATTGCATTCACTATAGCTGAAAGAATGAGAAATCTGCAAGTAACAGAAGAGGCGAACATCGAGAAGCGGCTCGCAGGCACATTCTTTTTCTCGCGCAAGCACACCGAACGCTGCACAACCGGATATTTTTTTGCGACGCTCGCATACCAGCTTGCCTGCAATTTTCCCAGCGTCCGGGAGGACTTGAACAGAACCATCCGCGAGAATCCTGCTCTTTTGGATTCCAACAAATCTCTCCGCGACCAGATGGAGGGACTCTTTCTGAAACCTCTGCAGAAGCTTCAATCTAGACTGCGCGAATGTCCGCCTTCGGCGTTCGTTGTCGATGCCCTTGATGAATGCATGTCCGAAACTGAGGTCGCAGATCTCATTTCCCTACTCGGCTACGTTCTTCGTCAACCCAATTTGCCCGTAATCCATATCCTACTCACGAGTCGCTCAGAAGCATACATCCGTGAAGCCATTCAAGTCGAAGACGTTCAGCCACTGGTGTGCGAGATACCAGTGGAAATTTCTGGAGAGGGTGTTGCTGCAATCATCTCATTAGACGGCGCAGATGTTGACGACGACATCTATATTTTCCTGGAGCACTCTTTCAGAAAGCTGCGGAGCCGATATTCAAATTTCCCCCAACCAACATCACGTGAACTTGCACGGTTGGCTAGTCGAGCGGGAAGACGTTTCATTGTAGCATCTACGATGATGAAATTCGTCGATGATGGATATCATGATCCCCGCGATCGGCTCCACCTCATGCTGGAGTTCACTAGCGAGCTGCTCCCAGGAACGGAAGTTTATAAATTATATGATCGTATTCTCGCCACATGTGCCAACCCCGCGCGAGCATACTTGCACTTATCTATTGTTGCCTCCCTTGCAAACCCTCTGTCAATCTCACAAATCGCGGAACTTCTTGGCCCTGGTGAAGGCAGGGACGTGGAGACAGTACTGGCGCAGCTACGGTCAATCATGGACATCCCTACGGACCGCAGTCTCCCAGTAAATATCTTTCACTCGTCCGTTCGTGACTACGTTCTTAACCCTTCGAACTGCAACCTCCCTGGGGTGCAATATATCAGATACCCCCACCCCCTACTCGCTCGTTCATGTCTCTACTTGATGATGCAAGCCATCCCACGAAGCACGGCCTTTTTGGATGCACTATCGCAATTGAAGACACATAGCCGGGCTATGAGACCCCACGAGCCGCAGAACTTAAAACAAGAATTGGCCTTCATCGTCGAGTCACCGACGCCATTCACAGTCCTTATAGCCCTGCAGTGGCTTCGGGGAAGTCATAAGTCAGATTTACTTTCCTGGTTAGAGACCCTTGACGGGTGCGCCTGGCTGGAGACCCAAGAGGGGAAAGACTGGCTGCAGATTCGGTGGAGGATAGACTGGCTCCAGACCCAGGGGAAGACATTCTTACCGAAGGCTCATAGCGTCCGAGACTGGCTTCTGACCCAGGGGAGGAAAGGCTCATTGACTGAGGCCTGGCCATCTTGGCTGGGGACGCAGAGCGGGAGAGATTGGCTGCAGACCCAGTCAGGGCAAGATTGGCTGCAAACCCAGTGGGGGAAAGATTGGTTGCAGACTCGGTGGGGGCAAGATTGGTTACAGACCCGGTGGGGACAAGACTGGTTACAAACCCGGCGAGGTCAAGACGCATATACCCAGCACAAGCGGGACTCGCTCCAGACCCTGAACGGAGAAGGCTGGTTGAAGACTGAGAGTGGGCGAGAATGGCTTAGGGACGAGAGCGGGAGAGAGTGGCTGCAGACCCATAGTGGACAGGATTGGCTGCAAACCCAGAGTCGACAAGACTTGCTGCCAACCCAGAGCAGACGACAGTGGTTGCAGACTCAGAGCGGGCGAGAGCGACTGAAGACCCAACCCGGACAAGAATTGCTGCAGACCCAAGGTGGGCGAGATTGGTTGAAGACCCAGAGCGGACGAGAATGGCTGCAGACCCAGAGTGGCCAAGACTGGCTGCACACGCCCCATGGTCAAGCTTGGCAGTCGACTGCTGCGGCGTCTGTCTGGGTCACAATGGAGGAATTCTCGAGGACTTTGGAAGCAGTCGGCGAGTATGCGATCGTCCCAGAATTGCTCTCACTTGCAGCTTTCCAGGCAATCCAGCAGTTCAAGAGTTTGCCGGATTTCTTGATGTTCCCGGTGTTCCTGGCATTAAGGACATCAAGATCCTTCTTCCGCCTTACCGCAGTGTCATTTCCCACCAGACATGGAGATATTCCACGCTATGATGGCCTTTGAGGGTTTTGCACACAAAGCACAGGAACGAAGTCGATCAGCGTCTGACGCGCTCAATTATGCGTGCCAGAATTGGGCGTTCCACCTCTCGCGAGCTCACGGTCCATGGGACAACATACTTAATCACCTGTTCAAATATTTCTGGAGTCACCATCTCCTCTGCTGGCTCGAAAGGCAGTGGTGTTCGAAGGGCCTCCGGTCTTGCCTTGCTATTTTATTCGAAGTGCAGAATTTTGCTTCGCCCAAAGTATAAAGGTCAGTGTGTTGTTAACGATGTTTGCGACGCAGAAAATAACCTGCACATGTGAGTAGGGACATCATCAATAAGAAAGCGGTAGATAGTATTTATTTCTCCTGCACGTTGCTCAAGTGCTTCCAGCACATACTCGCTCTAGCAGATCCTACCCTTCTTGTTTATTACAGTTGGTAAAAGCGGTACCCTGTTCCGTTTTTGATGTGACAAAGAGCTGCAGTTGGTTGGTGAAGAGCATGGCAGTGCGTTAATAAGTTATGCATTTATGACTGATTGTGTATTGAAGCGATTACCGCTGCGCGGTTCGTCTTGTGTTATATATAGTTTGTCTATTTATATACATGAATTTGTGAGAAAAAATGCGGTTGTGTCTATGAAAGCGTCAATTCAAAGCAAATCCCACTGATGATCATGATGCCCCAAGACTCGGACCCAGACAATGCCATATCCCAGGAGTCTGTGACAGACTTGCCTCCAGAATGTCCATTTCCCGGACGTTCTCATGATATGAGTCAGTACAGTTTGAAGAACAACAAATCAGGTCTTATGCCGTCACGGTCATACTATCAGGATTCAGTGCGCCCAAGTCTTCTTTTCTCCGTGTCCTTTCCTGATTGCTGTTTAGATCTAGCAGTGATGACGCTAGTACTATCTGTCAATCAGCGTTTCTCAACTAGGCTATCTCTGGCTAGACAAACCGATGCCCGTTAGCACCGCACCAATTTCTCGATGCAGATCGAAGATTCTGCATTCATCATTGTTGGCAACCTTATATGACAGCCCGATAAACAATGCAAAGAGCAAGAATGTGCGCACAAAGCGACAGATGGCCCAAGAACGAGGCGCCGAAATAGTCAACATTGAGATAGTACTATGCTCGCGCACGGGAACGTGAGTTCACTCCGTGTGAATCTTCCCTACTTTTGACGGTTTATTTCTGGTATGGCCTTGGCATGCCGACACAATTTGCCTTCTATCTTTCGCTGTGTTAGTATGTAAAGTGTTCCGCCCGTCGAAATGTTTCATGACCAACGTTTACGTTGAGCGCTAGCCCCAGTGGATCTTTGGGTAATGAACACAGGAATGGGTCAATTTCATTTTGGTGATCCAAGCACTGGACGGTAGTATATAAACTATCACCTATACGTATACCAAGTTCACCTTTCACCCTCACTCCCATTCTATACCAATATGACCATATTCTCAAATGATCCTGCTTGGTGGCCGACCATCAATGCATATCGGTTTTCCAGCTATTTTTCAGGTTCGTGGAGAGCAGTCGGATTCTGAAGATGATGTCTCAATTTAACGTTGGCTGCGGTTTCGCAGTTGCCGCCTTTGTTGTAGTGACGTATGATTGGGGTGAGCATGATCATAACATTAAAGGACTGCTGATATCTTACAAGTATTTTTCAGCACTTACATTCGCACAAGAGGTATGTCAATACTATGACCGGAGTAGCCATCCGCTAAGAACCCTTCTATAGGTTGAATTGGTCTGGGTGAGTAGAATCTCATGTCAGAGGAACAACCGTGAAAATACGCTTAATTACAGAGGCAACGTTGGTCCTTGATGACAATTCTGTATCTCGGTGTATGTAGCTTGTTTATCGTGGTTGTCATGCTGTGCTGACTTGAAAGTATCCTAGGTGCGCTACCTTGGAATCTTATATGCTGCGTATGTCCGGAAGGTTAAACAATCAATGCTGTGTTGATCGTCTGTCTCTCATAATCAGCCTGACTATCCTGTGTATGTCACCCTAGTACATCTACTGTCTTCGCTTCTCCTGACAAACGGTATACAGCCCATATTCCGACCATCTCGCTGACAGATACAGTGAGTCTTCTGCACAGATGCCTGTTATTCCCCTCCATTTAACTGTGGTTCCCTGTAGGGGTGGGTGTAGCTCGTTACTAACTCTTGATTCTCTACTGACTGCCACGCTATACTGCCACAGATGTAAGTCTGTTTGGAATGTGTGCTACCCGAGGTTGATCACTGACTGGATTCGTCAGGCTGGATTGTCTACGTCCTATGGAATTGGACGGGTGTTGTGGCATTTGCGATGTTGTGTGGTGAGCTGGGCACTTGTGAGTCAGTGATATTGACTGAAACACACTGCAAGTCATCGTCGTCACTCGGCTGCATGCCATGTATCAACGATCCAGAAAGATCCTGATATTTCTCGTTGTCAACATCCTGGTCTTCAACGTTTTCGATGGAGTAGTAGCTATAACGGCGATGGTGCATAGTTCAGGAGGTACGCTTAATTATGGATGAAAACGAACGTGCATGGGATTCACTGATGGATATCAGAGGAAGTCGTTTTTTCCGGCGCTCATCAGTGCTGGATTACCTTTACGGAAAATTTTCTGCTTCTGAATTCTGTTACTTGGATACTCGCAACTGTGTGGGAGGTCTTCGCACTGTGCCTCGCAGTCTGGATTGCGGTAAAACACTTCCGTGAACTGCGACGACATTCGGTAGGAGGGGTTATGGGGCACTGTCTCACGGTGTTGGTGAAAACTCATATGCTTTACTTTGCGAGGTAAGCTTATACTGCGATTGTTGTTCCATTTTCCCACTGGAATGGTCGGACTTGGTAGCTTTGTCGCTGTTTCGTGTTTCGTCCTCATTCTTGATTTCTCTCCAACATTCTCAACGGTATGTTGATCTTTCACTCGCCTATACATGCTACCACGATTCATCGTTTTTATAGTACCAAAATTCTCTGGGAATCCAGATTTTTTATGGTTTGCTTCAGATTTTGCAGAACTTGCAGTTGTTTGTGCTGGGACCACGGCTGGTCCTTAGTGTTCGAGAGTATGGGGCTAAGCTCGTGGCCGATTCTGACACAACTATTGTCATGACCACAGTCGCTTTCCAGGAGCGTGTGCATATATCGACTGGCAGTAGTGTGTAATCCATCCTCGATTCGTCTTTTCGCCTCATTCAACGTCCCACTCCTGTCTTTTCATCTGACTTGCGCCAACTGGCTTACGGAAGATCAAATCAGGATGATTCCAAGGTGCGCGAAGCACGGTCGTGTATGCATAGCTTGATGATGCGAGGCATACTTGATGAGTTTTGACGAGGTTGATACTTGTGGAGGAGTTTGCCTTTCACTTTTGTTCGACTGAGGCGGAAATACGGATATGAATATGAACTGTCTCGGATTGTCACTGAAACACTACTGGCTGATACATAGACATTGTGCTATGAAGACCATGATTCTTTAGCTGGGACCCAGTGCCTATATGGAGTCAGGGGAATTTAAAGAAATCCAGTGTTAACGTCTGGAAATAGCACACTAACCATCAAACGGTTTGTTGACGTGGTTCCAAACGGTGATAGTGACGGACCAGGGACGGATATGCAGGCACCAGGACCAGCAATAGACTAATAGTGCAAGAGTCGAGCATCCGCTGCTTGATGCTACATAGATTGTGAATATGATAGTGAATTCGACACAGTAAGAGGTAAATCTCCCGTGGCTGGCTGGCGGAAGAGACCGTCTTCAAAATGACACAGAAGTTGGGGCCTTGAATTAGATTTTCGGATTTAAAAAGTTTGAGTGCTATGGGTCGCGATGATACTCTGGGAGATTTGGATATTGAGAAAGGGAAGGCTCTATGACTTCTGAACCGGGCACGAATTTTCACAAGAACGTATATGCACGGAGGGCTATAGCTACTATTATTTATAGAAGATTTCAAGCACACCTGTAGAAGTGATAAATATTTCAAACAAAATGACAGGGGTTCTCTGAGCACGAGTTGACCGATGGTGTCGGTGAGATCTTGAGACTGTGCCCCTGTGCCCGCCTCACTCTTCACATTGTGACACGGCGCCCATCGCTATTGGACAATTGTATGGCGAGTCAGTATCATGATGAGTCTCCGGCCATTGGTTAATATACAAGCTCTCCATAAAGTTGCACAATACATAGTAATAAAAAAGTAAATGGCATGATAAGGAATAAGAATACACTGGCACGACTCGCAATCATTCATAACCCAACTCAGTATCAATTCGGGCTCTCCGCCACCCTCAACGGTCTCCGACAGCTCCTCCTCGGTATGATCTTCCATCCCTATTTGCTTCTTGCTCTTCTTCGACGGGAGAGGTTTTGGTAATGGTGGTGGAGGGGTCCGTCGGTTGGGGTGGAGCGGTGCAATTCGCGAAAGTATCGTTCGCGAAGACCTCACCAATGGCGAATAGGAAGGACAGTTCTAGAACGGTGAATTTGGTTTTGAGTTGACACACCGGATGAGCTCTGACATTGGGGTCGACTTGGGTTTGTTGAAGGTGCGTGACTGGAGAGTGACAGACGGAGTCTGCTTTGGTTGGGCAGCTACGCTTTTCGGGGGAATTTTCTAGGTAGAATGTAAGTAAGGATATCAAAGAGTATGGAAATGTAGTACCTTGGTTACCTCAGGGATTACAATGGTTTCAGAATTCTTGGGACTGTCGTCTCGAGAGTCTTTGTCCTCGGGCAAATGGTTGCTTTGGTTAGGGGACCGCTTGACGGACTTATCTCAGGATTTCTGCCGCTTTTGTGGAGGCTCGAGTGATAGTTCGTCGAGGTGGGAATCGGATATTAACTCTATCACATCATGGTTGACAGACACGTAAGTCGGCTTCTTGATCTGAGTCTTTCGAGTGCGCGTCTTGGCTCGGTCGGCAATGCTAAACACAGGATCGACTTCCTCGATGAGATCTAAAACCGCAGATGGTGTGGTTGGAGGGCGGATGCTGTCTGAAGCCAAGGTACTGGCTGAGATTGCAGATGCAGAACCTATGAGTGAGCCAGAGGAACAAAGTTCATCGTCTTTGATGAAGTACTCGTAGTTCGAGACTTTTGCGGCACGGGAAGTGGACGCGGTTTAGACTTTTGGTACAGGTGTTCCCCCGCCACGAGGAAGTAACGGAGAAGGATCTAGTTGTTCGGAGTCTTGGTACCCTGGAGGTGGTGTAAACAGAGACACATTACTTGTGTCGAGAGGTTCACGTCCTCGCTGAGGAGTCTGTGCTTAACAGGTAACAAATGAGGCAGTCTGAATTGTTGACGCTGCAAATCCGTATCCAGTTAGCATGCGGTATAGGACATGAAGCTCAAAGGATTCCTAACGCTGTAGTATCTTTTCCGGGCCTGTAGAAAACGGGGTTCCGCTCAAGAGGCCGCTTCAGGTCAGCAATTTGAAGAGGTCGTAAAGCATCTTCGTCCTCGCTGTCAGCGACAATACAGTCGTCTGTAACATCGGCCATGTTGTAGTTGATAGATATTATACTGGGTGTTGTCGATGAGTATGCATATAGAAGAAGTTAAGAAGAGTAAGACATGACATGAATCAAATTATACCTCGTACTCGTCTGCTTGTGAAGAGTTATGTAACGCTCTAGGCACAGCCCAACCTAGCCACAGACTCCGGAGCTTCCAGGGAACAAAGTTCATCAATTTTCTATATCAAGAATGCAAGAACCGCAACTGCATGATCCATGTGGAGTGCACAAATATCGGAAAAGACATGATGGCAAAAGTATCTGTTTACATTTGTAGCCGTAGACCAAACAAAGGCTTCGTTCGATACGTCGGATTTGTGTCTACTCACTTACCTTTCTCCCTCGGAATATGATCTGACCAATAGCGGTCCTCAAAGTTAAAATCGTAGAAATTTCAAGAGGTAAGAAATTTGCGACTTGCCGATAATTAGAACTCCGACGATGACAAATCAAGCTCATATCTTACCACCGCCCATCATCATCGTACCTTACCGTGACCATCATATTGATAACGTTCTGCAACGACATCGGAAGATGCCTCGAGAATCGGATCGCAAAAAACTACTTCGTAGTCTGAAGCAAACGACAAATGACCTTACGATTGCGCGATACATGGAGTTGATTGAATTTATGGTGGATCAGCTCCTCGAGGAGGGCTCTGACAATAGCTCTGATAAGGGATCGGATGGTGATAGTGGGTCAGATGTCAGCATACGGACCGCATCGCCAACATGGCCGGAGTCCCTGACGTCATCCGTCATATCCACGTTGTCCATCAGCTCTCTAGTAACCTCGCTTTCAACAGCATATTCTGATGTCCTATCACTCGATATCCCGGACATGTGCGATCAAGTGTTTACGCACTTTATTGATGCAATCGGGGCACTGCATGATGAAGTGGAGAAGTGTCGGGTACTTGACGTGCGTCCATCTCTGACTCGCGCACCGCAGTTACACCTGCTGCAAGAATGGGCGCTGCTCTCACCTGAAAAGTTTCGCCGCAAGCTTCGCGTTGATGCAGAGGTATTCAACAAACTCACAACGTTAATCCAAGCCCACCCCATTTTCCATAATAACTCAAATAATCCACAACTTCCTGTCGCTGTCCAGCTCGCGATCTTTCTCAATGGTGTCGGCCATTATGGCAATGCTGCGACTACTGAAGACATATCCGATTGGGCTGGAGTGTCCGTAGGGACCATCTACAACTGCTACAAGCGAGTCATGATCGCGATCTTGCAACTGCATGATCGCGCCATACATTTTGATCCGCTCGATCGTGAGGACCAGATTGAGCGAGAGCGGGCAAAAGCGTACGTGGAGCAGAAGACATGTCGTGAGTGGCGCGGCGGTTTCCTTTGTGTAGATGGGACTCCGTCCCCTCTACACGAGAAGCCCGGTTGGCACGGCGAAGGGTTCTTTGACAAGAACTCTGACTACTCTCTAACAGCCCAGGTAAGTATCTACTATCGGCTCAGTGTGCAGCGCAGCGACTTACAATCCAAAAGGTCGTCATATTCCCTCATAATCTGCGTATCGTTGACTACGTCATTGGCGTACCCGGGAGTCTTCACGACTCGAACGTATTTGCACGAACGAGGGTCTCCCGGCATCCCGAGTCGTTTTTTGGTGCGGGAGAGTGGTTGTGGGCGGACTCGGCGTATGCTGCGCGAATTTGGTGTGTGCCGCCGTACAAACGGCCAGCGGGAGGGTCTTTGACGGCCGAGCAAAGGACATTCAATTATAACCTGTCAACAGTGAGCATCAGTACTAATATACTTTTGTCGTCCTCACCCAGTGTCTAGGTCCGTGTTCGTTCAGAGCACTTCTTTGGCTCTATCAAGGGCCGGTTCCAATCACTGCGGGAGCTTCGCATCCCAATCCAAAGCCAGAAGGACCTCGACTACGCGAACATGTGGATCCGTTCGTGCTTCATTCTGCACAACTTAATTGTTGAAATTGAGGAAACAGAAAACCGCGAAGACTCGAACATATGCTTCTATCAGCAAACTCGGAGATTGAGGCGAGCTGACGGTGACGGAGGAGAGGATGATCAGCAACAGGGTGGCGCAGTAGGTGATCAGACTTACATTGGAACTGTGGGGCAGGATTTTCATAACACGTTAAAGACGCGGTTGCTTTCGTCGTTGGAGCGAAGGTAGTTAGTATTATATTAAATGTACTTGTACCTATACATATTCCTTTTGGCTCGCAAGGTCACACTTGAGATTTTCTCGAGAAAGGAGCATTTTAGCGAGCTCTAGGAGGGGTCAGTAGCGCTTGAGATTTTCTCAAGAAAGGAGCGTTTTGGCGAGCTCTAGGAGGGGTCAGTAGCGCTTGAGATTTTCTCAAGAAAGGAGCGTTTTGGCGAGCTCTAGGAGGGGTCAGTTGTGCTTGAGATTTGCTCGAGAAAGGAGCGTTTTAGTGAGCTCTCTGAGTTGGCACCATCGAGTACAACATGGAATGCATTTCCTGAAAACCTGTTACGTGACAACATAGTGCAAACCTACTTAGTTTTGATCAAGACCACGCTCCAAAGCAATACGACGAATTCGAGCCTCCTCCTCCTCCCGACGTGCACGAGATAGCTCAATCTCAATTCTTGCAAATTCCATCTGTTGAGTCATCCTCTCCTGCTGGTGCTGATGATCTTGGTCAGATAGACGCATCACATGCTCCCGCTCATCACGAGCACTGCGGGCCTTGAGATCACGAGCCCAAATTTCGGTCTCAAGTTTCATGCGTTTATAGCGTTCGTGCTCCACACGATCCTCACGTTTGCTGTTAAGGTGCGTCATTATGGAATCTGCCGTCTGAGACATCCTATCTGCAGCGGCAGAGGTCTGATCGAGAGTGCTGCCACCAGGGCGTTTGCGTGATGAAGAGGGGGGGCGACTAGATTGAGGTGAAGCACTCTGAGTAGGTGCACGTGCATGAGACTGCTTTGTAGAAAGAGAGGGTGAACTTGCGTGACTTCCTTTGAGTGAGCTGACGCGAAGAGACTGCAGCGCTCGGCTAGCACCAATGTCCGAATCTTCCGAGTCAATGGGTGTGGATTGAGGGCTAGCTGATGACTCCTTGAAATCAGAAAAGAAAGGTGAATTGTGGGTGGTGCTTTGATTGGGTACTGGTGAGCGCTCAGGAGAGTTCAGCGATATCACGCCGTGTGTGTTGGAAGTTGTGATGGGAGGAGGTTGGGGTCGTTGGTACCAGTGTGGTAATGGAGCGAGTGAGAATGAGTTGGGCGTGTCGCTAGGACCATGGTCCGAAAATAACAGCGGGGATGGTGCTGACAACGGTGATTCGAATGACTCCATGGAGGGGGGCTGGTCAACCATCATATCATCTGGTGCATCTATAATGCCAGCATCACCTGTAGTATGAGCGCTGATCTCAACTATTTCTCCGTCCTCGGCATCCTCATCTGTGTGAGTGTCATCGTCGCCTGCGGCCGGTGCTTGTGGTTGCTTTGAGATAGCGAAATGTTCTAATGCAGCGGACACAAAATCTTGCCCTGTATCCGCTGTAGAGAAGGCGTAATTGAAAGCTGGGTTTGTGCGCCACCAGCCATGAAGCTCAGGCCACCAGGGAAATTTTTCGAGCTTTGTATCTAACAGAGATACGATTAAGACATGTGCAGTTCAACAGCGGCTAAAACTTACCAATCAACGACTTCATCGTTGGATCCTCTTGCAGCTCTGCATATGTCTTTCCGGCTCCTGACTGCTTGAGCTCCTTGTTGAACTCGTTATATTTTTTCTTGAGCCTAAAACATCTGATCAGTGATTCTAGTGGGAGGAGAAACAATGCAGGAACGGGATACATACATGCCGAAACGAGTTGAAACTGGTTTGATAAATGCCTTTGGGTCCTCCTTGAAAAGTCGTTGGACCTCCGGATCCTCGTCATTCGAAAATACAGCTTGTGCGACCTGTGAATAAAA